AAAAAAAAAAAAAAAAAAAAAAAAAATTAAAAGGGCTGGGGCTGGGTACTAGGGGTGTAATAGCTCAGTGGTAGAGCGTTCCTGGATTCAGCCCCTAGTAGTGCCAAACAAAACAAAACAGAAAAACTCTCAGTCCAATCTGGGTTGGGTGGCAGAAAAGACTGGTGGCAATTATAGCTGGCTTTTTGCTGTGAGTCTGTGTCCCAAAGAGGCACCGTGTGGCACTGCCGCCGTTGGCGTGCAGGACAGATACAGGAACAGGGTGCTCAGTTCCCTGTGCACTGCTGCCTGTGCAGGTTCCGGGTCCCTGCAGCCACCCTGCTGCTGGCTGGGCACTGTCACCTCATTTTACAGCAGCTGTCCAGAGGCACAGAGGTCATAGAGGCCATGGGGACCTGGCTGAGTGCACCCAAGCCCAGGGCCCAGTTGTGGCCTCCATGAAGTCAGTCACCTCCTGGGCCACTCAGCCCTACTGTCTTCTCTCGTTTGGCCACCAGAGTTTGGGCACTCAGAGTTGAGGGAAACTCTGAAGAGAGTGTCTGGGAGTCAGAACAGAACGTCCTCCCAGAGAACTTTGTCCCTCCTTCCTACCCCCAGCTCTCAGCTGCTTCTCCTCTTCCTGGCAGGGACCCAGTCTTTCCCCTTCAGCACCCATGCTCCTGCCCTACCCAGGAAAGGGGTGCAAGGTCCTTGGGAGTGCTTGGCAACAGAGAAGGGAGGAGGGATCTCACAGCCTCTCTCATCTTTGAGAAAGGGGAAACTGAGGCACAGAAAGACTGTGGGCTAGACTGACTTGGATCCTCCAGGGACCAGGTATCCCACTTTCTGGATCAGAAGCAGCCACTGCTGCCCCCTACTGGTTACTCTGGAAAGAAGCTCAGCTCAAGATGCCTACATTGTGTTAGGTCCTGTGTGGACGTGGAGAGGAATCAGATGTGGGCATGGGAGCCAGTGCTCAAATGCACTTTCTATAATACACAACAGAACATGGGCGTGGTCTGATAGAGTCTCAGTCCTGGTGGACTGCACTTTGGTTGCCACAACTTGGAAAGGGAGAGCTTGCTGCAGGCATCTAGTAGGTAGAGGTGAGGATGCCGCTGAGGGCCCTGCAGTGCACAGAACAGTCCCCGAAATAAGTGTCTGCCCCAAAGTATCCAGAGAGCCCAGGAAAAAACTGTAATAGTTACCAGTGACTTGTGCCTCAAGCAGAGCAGGGGTGCAGGCTGGAGGGCCAAGGTACATAAGGAGGGAGGCTTAGATGGAACCCAGAGGGCAAGAGAGGACTTTTAGGAAGAGGCACTGGGCATGATGATGCATGCCTATAATCCTAGCGCTCTGGGTGGTTGAGGCAGGAGGATCGCAAGTTTGAGACCGACTTGGACAATTCAGCAACATACCCTGTCTCAAAATTAAAGGGGAGGTAGGGCGGGGGTGTAGCTCAGTGGGAAGGTCTTGGGTTCAATCCCCAGTACTGAAAGGAAAAGAAAGTATGGGAGGGACAAGGAACCAAGCCCGAGCAGGGGCTGAACGGGGCTGGCTCTGGTAGAGGAGAAAGGCTGACAGATGTGTTCCCTCCCTAGGGTATGTCCAGGGCTGCCGTGCGCTCATGATCACTGCCATCCTCCTGGGCTTCCTGGGCCTCTTCCTAGGCATGCTGGGGCTGCGCTGCATCAACTTTGGGAGCATGGCGCTCTCCACAAAAGTCAAGCTGGCGGCCACTGCAGGGGCCCTACACATGCTGGCGGGTAATGGGGAAGGTGGTGGTGAGGCCTAGGTGCGGCCCCTGGGTTCTCCCTCATGTCCAGCTCCCTGAACCTGGGCTTGCCTCGCCTTCCCCATGGCATTGACATCTACCCTTGCTGTTCAGTTCCATATACTCCACCCTGTCTGTACACGCTTTATCTCTGGGATCCGATTCATCCCATCAGCAGTGGTTCTTGAGGGCCCACTGAGGCAGGTGTGAGCCAGGTGTGGGAGGGACTTCCTTTCAGAGCTCACACTGCACCTAACAATGCCATCAACTGGCCATAGCTCTTCAGCTTGCACATCGGTGTAACATGGCTTCACAGAAAGCTGCCAGGTATGGTGAGGACTGTCAGAGAGGTCAGGTGGCTTTTTGGAGGACAACCTTTGTGAGTGGATCAAGCACAGAACAGGGCTCAGGGCTTTAGGATGCCAAGGGACAAGGACTGCAAGGAAGTAGGCAAGAATTCTTGGGCAGGTGGGTTTTGGAGGCTGGGAAGACTGGAATGGTCAGGTTCCAGGTGAGGAAGAGAGTGGCCCCAGCATTTGAAATATGACTGAACAAGGCCAGTCTGGGACAAAGAAGGCGGGGATTGGGCCAGAGGGGTGGCAGGGCATGGGCTGGGGTAGGGGCCTGAGAACCAAATTGGCAAGTTTACAGTTGACCCCAGGGATAGATACAGCAGGAGAGAGGAACTGAATGAAATTGTTGCTCGACCTACTTTCCCTGCCTGCCCCTTCCCCAAGTCCCCAATTGCCCTGGGCTGTGGCTAAGGGGCACTCCTGCCTCTCAGGGGCCTGTGGGATGGTGGCCATCACTTGGTATGCGATCAACATCACCCAGGACTTCTTCAACCCTCTGTATGCTGGAACCAAGTGAGTGAGAAGCCTGCCCCTGGGGATAGCTGGTGGGTCTCCAGTGCCCGAGGTTGGCACTCACCTCTTGTCCCTTTCCCATTTGCTGGCACTCAGGTATGAGCTGGGCCCTGCCCTCTACCTGGGCTGGAGCGCCTCTCTGCTCTCCATACTGGGTGGCATCTGCCTCTGCTCCAATTGCTGTTGTGCCTCCAAGGAGGACCATGTCACCAGGTAAGGAGGGGCCGAACAGTGAGGCGAGTGGGGAGCAAGGGCCTGGCCTCCCTGTGACCCTGTGCCCCCACTCCCAACAGGGCCCATCTTCCCTATAAGCCATCCGCGGTCCAGATGCCCTCAGCGGCTTCACAGGAAGAAGGCGACATCAGCTTTGGCAAATATGGCAAAAACGCTTACGTGTAGGAGCTCTGGTGTATGGAGCCCACTGCTCCCAGGATCCTATGCTCCCTGGAATGACCTCAGGACAGGCCATGCCTCATGCCTGGAAGCTACATCCTGTGTGTGGGAGCCTCGCTCCAGCTGAGCTACATCCAGGACATGCCCCTCACCTGGGCACTCTTGCCCCTCCCAGGCCCAGAACTGCTCCTGAAAACTCACCTAGGCCTCTGGGGCCAAGGGGACCAAGGCGTCTCCCATTGCGCGCGTTCTCTATAAATACTTGCATAAATAAATGTACACTGTGATTCCTCCGGGTTTGAGAATGTCATTATGCACACAGCCCAGCAAAAGGTGAGAGGTGACATCAAGAGACAAGTCAGGCTGTCTCCTTCAGCAAAACAGAAGTGTTACAAGTGATTTCAAGAGGGTGACAATAACTTGTCACCAAGGGGCAGATAGGAGAAGCCCCCAGCCACAGGAACTTGGAAACTGCAGAGGAGCCACTGGCCAGTTGGAGACAGCAAGCCCCCCTTCCGCCCTGGACCTGTCTTCCCATAGCTGCAGATGGGGGGCTGGTCTAGGGCCATTTATTTACTGGGCCTGGGTATGGACACCAGGAATGGGCAGTCCATTTGGAGCTCTGCTCCAGATTAGCTGCGTCAGTGCATGTGTGTTTCTTTGGGAGGTTCAATAACTTCCCAAAAAAGGCTCTGAAGACTGTGTGTGTGAGGCTTGGTGGCATCCAGCTCACACCAGGTTCTGGGTTGTGGGCAGCCTTGGCACAGCCCAGTCAGTAGAGTAGTGCTCAGATACCCACTCTAAAGAGGAAAATGAGACTACACAGAAGCCTGGCATCCAGTGGGAAAAGCAGGGAACAGGGCCCCAGGCCAGCAGCCCTCTCCATTTCTCTTTAATCTCTGTCCACTCACCTGTAAACTCCACTTCCTTTCAGGACACTAACCTGAGTGGAGTCCCACAACTGAACACTGAGGTATATGCCTTAATATGGTCACTAGGATAAGGGCACTGGGCAATACAGTCTCTTTCCATAATCTGGGAGGTGGCTCTACCAGGGCAGAGGCCAAAGGACCTGTCCACATGTACAACTGGTAAGGACCAGGATTTCTCTGAAGCTGAAAATGAAAGCGCCCTGCTCAGAATCCCTAGCTCTTCCTAGTTAAATGCAATGCTGGGGGTGGGCTTTAGGGGTCCCCAATCTCTAGCCATCCAAACCATGGCACTAACCTCTTCCCTTGTTCCCAGGACGGTGGTGTTGCCCCTATCCTGACACTTAAGTGTAGCTTCTAGGAGCTTTTTGCAAAGCACGGATTTCCCAAAGACCAAGTATTGTCCAAGGTGAGAAGCAAGTCTCTGGCCCCAAACAAGCTGCTCAGGCCTTCCAGGGGGTGGGGGGAGTTGTCTAGTTTACATGGGTCCATGCTTCCTAGAGTATGATCCATGGATGTCTCAATGAGCTAGGCAGCATCGGAGCAATGGGTCACCCTCCAGGTCTGTCCTCTTGAGGTCATTTGGGAAGGTGGAGAGATCTCACACCAAGCAGAACCTGTGTGACACTGCGACAAGATGGTAAGCAAGGACAGGGAAGGGGGAATGAACCCTACTTGCCAGTCACCCAGAGGAGACTACGCTGACATACTGCAAATCTGGCCGTGTTTCAAAGCCAGAAAGTCTTTCCTTGTTTTCTGGCTTGAGTGTACTTGTGCGGTGGAAAAGAAAGGAAAGACACACAGAGAGTCAGCTTCAGATCCTAGTTTCACTTCCTGAGAGAAACAATAAGCCCAGGCAGCAGTTGTAGCCTCCAACTGGATTCGTGGTGCCTGCTACTGCTTCTGCTCACAAACCACCCCAGGACTCAGCAGCACAAACAACTGCTTACTATGCACACATCCCGTGGCTAAGGGTTCAGACTGGCGTGGCGAGGTGGCTTGTCTTGCTCCATGGTGGCCACAGTTGGGGAGACTCAGAGGCTTGAAGGTGACCTGATGCCAGAGGCTGGAATCTGAAGGAATCTCCACACTGCTACTGGCACCTGGGCATGGATGACAGCAAGGGTCCCTTCCATGGCCCCTCTTGTGCAGCCTTCCCGACCTAGCCTTAGATGTCCCTTCTCTAACGTCAGCCATTCTCTGCTGTGGGAGCAGTCACAAGATGGACCAGATTCCAAGGGCAGGGGACAAACACTCAGCTTTCGATGGCACAATACAGAAGTTAAAGGTACTTTTTAAACCACCATACCTGTTTTATCCCTAAACCCTATGGCTACCACCACCACCCAATGTGAAGCTGTTGGCCACACCACTTTGCTGCGTTTTCAGAGAAAAGGAAAGCAGGACCCCAGGAAAACAGTCCCCCAGAGCAGAGGGAAGAGCCTAAGAAGGTGCTAAGCATTGGCTTTGCTGCACCTTATTAATTTTTTGATTTGGTTTGGTTTTGAGACAGGGTCTCACTTTGTAGTTCAGGCTGGTCCTGAACTCACTATGTATCCTGGGCAGGCCTTGAACTCACAGGGATTCTCCTCCTCCAGCCTCTTGAGTGCTGGGATTACTGGTGTGCACCACCACACCTGCTACACCTCATTAATATTTTAAGTTCATTTGCTCAACAAATACAAAGTCCCTGCTCTGCTAAGTGCTTAACCAAAGACTCAAAGGAGCCTATGAGATTACATCCTTCTACCCACTTGACAAATGAGAGTCTGAGAAGGTCTAGTATCAAAGGGGCACCAAGGACAGGACTCCTCCTGTGCTTTGCAGAAACTTCTGGAGTCCACACACCACCAGCCCTGGCAACAGAGGCTTCCTAAGGACTACTCCTCCCTCAGACCAGTGGCACATGGACAAGGAACCATTTGGTTAAATACCAGATGACAAAGACAGACCTGGCTCCTTCTGCAGCATCATTCTCTGGCTGTTTCCCAGTTCTCACCCTACTTCCCAGTCACCCAGGAATCTGGCTGTACTTTGAAAACACTCAAAGACATAAAAAGGAAAAAAAAAAAAACAAACCTAGATCAATAACCACAAAAGACATGACGCAGTAGCTAGGAGAGGCAGAGATAAGCTGTGGGAGTGGCAGCAGAATGGGACAAAATCTCCTGATAAGGGACACCAAGGGGCAGACAATGGGAGGGGTGAATGGCAGATCAAAGGAAGAGACACCCCAAAACCCCCACAACCAAGCAGACAGGCTCCTGGCACCAGGCCTTTTATTCCCACAGTGCTTTGCGGCTGGTCCACCCTGCCCACAGTTCCTGAGGAAGTCTGGCCTGCCAGGGCAGGACACAGCTTTGCAGGTAAGTGAGCAGCTCCTCCCTCAGTCTGGGGGCACCCCTTTTGGTCATACTCTTCAGAGGCTGGTGGTGGACTGAGGCCCTTCCTCTCCAGGGACACTAGGCTCACACGGTCCACTTTAGACACCTGCAGACAGAATAAGCCCGGGAGGAGAAGGAGAGCATTCGGGGCCTGGGGAGGCTGTGGGGTGGGGCTGTGGGTTGGGGTGCAGCCAGGGCTCACCTGGTTTCCTGGTGTGTGCCCAGACAGCGTACGGTACAGTAGCGGGCACCACAGCTGACACAGGTGTACGGGGAGGGGAAGCCACACACAGCACAAAAAGGGCGTTGGGGCCGGGAAGGGGGCCCTGCACAGGCCGTCAAGTAGTTGGGGCCCTCGGCCACATTCAAGTTCTGCAGAGACAAAAGGGGGCAGCTGATCTCCATAGGCTCAACCTTGCTGGCACTGCCCCACTGGCTCCTCTCTCACCTGCTCCTCCAGCAAGGCCTGAAAGTTTTTCCGGAAGCGAAGTTTAAAGTGATCACCGCGAGTTTTCTTCTTTTTCTTTCCTGGGGGACAAGAGCAATGAGCTGCTTACCACTTGCAGAGAAGGGCACCATCTTGGTACTTCCAGATGCCCAGGTACAGTCCCTGCCCACGCTGCCCGGGGTCTAAGCCTTCCCTTCTCCAATCCTGGCCCACCATCACCTCCATACAACCCAAATCCAATCCAAGGTCTACATTGGTTCATCTCCATCTTCTTCACTGTCACACATGAGGAAACTGAGGCACAGCAGGAGAGAGTGGCTTTTCACAGACCCAGGAGCCTGTCACCAACGCAGCCAGGAGTTCCCAGTCATCTGCCTCCAGCCCAGTGCTTCCCACAGTCCCCACCTGGGCCGACTCATCTCCCTCCTCACCGGTGTCTGCATCATCATCAAACTGAGGCAGCCTCTTGCCGAGCTGGGGAAGACCTGCATGGGGGTCATCCTGGAAGTTGTCATTCTCCAAGGCCTCAAGCTGCCTGTTGATCCGACGCTGCCGGGCTGCCCGGTCCAGCACCCGCCGCTGGCCAGGGTCCTGGGAGCGAACTGGATGGGACAGGGCAAGGAGAGTTAGGGCGGGGGGGAAGAGGGGCAGTGGGCCAGGGCAGTGTATGCAAGATGGCCACACTCTGATCTCATCTGTCACCAAGACCACGTCCCCGTATCTCCTCCTGCTGTCAGCCCTCTGGCCTGCTTCCTTCCCAGCTAGCTTAGCTATTCTTAGCCTTCAGTGCCTGCTTGGTGGCCCTGGGGATCCAGCCTGTGACACCTGCCTAAAGACACACAGCCAAGCTGACTGGCAGACCACTGTACACCCAGGGCTTCCAGATTCCCCTGGGATCTCTGTCCTGCCACTGAGGGAAAGGGGCAACCCCCAGATAGACATACTCACTTTTTAGCCCACCTCCCGATTTGTGGTGGATGCGTACTCCACCTGAGCCCCAAGGAACCCGCTGTTCCCTGCTGGCTCGAGCCCTTGCCTTCCCTTGGCATTGCAAATTGCACGTTCTCTGCTAACCTCTCACATGTCACTGATGTCCCAACTACATTTGGCCAAGAGGGGTCCCTGTGATGTTTCACCTCCTCACCTCTTGTCCACTGCCTACCCCAGCAGGCTGACTCCTGCCTGACTGTCCAGTGAGAACTGCCCTTGGGTGGGCAAGTGGTGACCTCCTTGGGCCAAACCCAGGGTGCATTTCTAGAATTTCCCTCCAACTGAGCTCTCTACAGTGTGACTGCACTGAGCACGTCCCCTGATGTCACCCCAGGTCTCCTTCTGTCCCCCAAGTCAGCTGCCCTCCCTGCCTATCCTACCCCTCTTCTCTCTGTCCACACCCTTTTGCTGGCCTTTCTAATCCTAACGCAGGGTTCTATTTCCCACAAGCAGATGACTCCACATGGGATTCACTCAGCCCAGAACCCTGTCCTGAGCCCCAGAACTGGCTATATCACCAGCTGCAGGATGTCACTGCTGACCCAACGACAATGCAACTCAAAATGAAAATCTTCCCATCCAAGTCTGCTTCTCTGCTGCAGACTCCAAATAAATGGACCTTCTATGCTGTACATTTATCCCCTCTCCAAATTTTAAAAAAAGCATTTATTATTTAATAACATTTTTGTTTTAACTGCATTTGTACTGAACATATACAGACTTTTGTCATCCTCTGAACAAGTCTCAAGTATTTATATTCCACTAGGCTATTATAAGCTAAACAGATGACTTAAAAGTCTATGGGAGAATGTACAAGGTCTACACAAATATGACATCATTTTATAAGAAGGAGTTGAGCATCTGTGAATTTTTAAAGGGTGAAGTCCTGCTCTTTGTATAAACTGAATTATTTCATCCTCACAACTCTGTAAAGTAAGTATCCTTCTCCCCCTCAGCTGACTGATGTGGAAAGGTTAAGAAATGCATCCAAAGTTTGCACAACTAGTCAGAGACCAGGTCAAAACTCAATCCCAGAAAACACAGCCCTTGACTACCACTCTAGACTGCCTCCCTTCCAAGCACAGCACAGTGCCATAGGATCCAAGACCGTGGGAGCCTACAGTCTCGGGGACCCGAGTGACTAAATAAACCAGCACAGTATAGTACAATGTGTGTTAGGATAAGGAAGTACAAAGTGCTACAGCGCACAAGACAGAAACACCCAACCTGGCTTTGAGAAGTCAGGGAAGATTTTTCGAAGAATGTAAGGGTAGACTGAGGCCCAAGTCATGAGCAGCTTGGCGCAGGACACAGAGGTGGTTTCAGCCTTGGTGCCAGCATGAGAGAAGGCCTGAATGGGAGACTTGGGCCTTTAAGAGACATTCAGTACAGGTGGTGTCTCGAGCATGTGTGTGTGTGTGGTGGGATGAAGGAGGCAAGCCAGATCCTTGAATCCTACCTTTGAATATTCAAAGGAATTTGGATTTGGGATTTTATGGCAAGAGCAATGAGGACCCGGTGTGCGGTGTTAAGGAATGACATTATTTAATTTATTGCAAATCAATTTAGCAGTATTCTAATTTTTCCCCCAGTACTGGGGATTCATTGTAAGGCTCATGCATCCTAGGAAAAGTGTCTACTGCTACGCTACATCTCCAGTCCTTTGTGTTTGTTTGAGAAGGGTTCTTGCCAAGTTGCCCAAACTCGGTTCAAACTTGCAATACTCCAGCCTTGGCTTCCTGAGCAACTAGGATTACAAGCACATTTGCCGCCACACTCTGCCCAGCCCTTATCTCTTTTTCTTTGAACTATTCATTTTTGTTTGTTTGTTTTGTTTTGAAACAGGGTAATGCCCTGTACAGACTGGGCTGGCCTCAAACTTGCAGCAATCCTGAGTGCTGCCTCAGCCTCCTGAGTGCTGGAATTACAAGTATGCTCCAGCCCCTCAGGCTGGACTGTTCAATATGTTCCTAACTTCCAGCCTCTAGATTTGCTCTATACAGATTAAGAACATTACATAACTGGAAGATGGCAGAGTGGTGAACAGCAGAGAAACGGGCTCTCTGACATTTGGTGTCCAGACACTGGAATACAGCAGCAACACGAGGAAGAGAAAAAGGAGGGAAGTGGGTCCCTGGGTCTCAGCAAGGATCTGAAGTGAGAACTGAAGCCCACAGGGAGAGTAAAGACAGAGACTTCACTGCAAAAGAAGGAGGTGGCAAATGGCTCTTTCTCAAGTTCTGACTCACTGCGTGGGAGAGGCAGCTCAAAACTGCAGACACAAAGTGGTTACTGGTGACCCCAGAGGCCTCCATGGAGAAATGCACTACTGGAATGTAGCAGCAGATGCAATGGGCTGCAGTGGTTGGTGTGTTTTTTGAGTTTAGACACCCCCCAGGAAAGGACTGGCTGGTAGTCATCTTGGAGAGGGACCAAAATCAAGAGCAGCTACAGGCTGGCTCCATCTAGCAGCTCCCAGTGTCAGGGTGAGGCGGAACCAAGTTCAAGCCTGCAGGAGGTACATAGAGTGTTATAGGCTGAACAAATCAGGCTCTAGCCTCACAGCCAGAAATCAACCTGAATATCAGTGTAACTAAAACAGATCAAAGAGGACATCAGAAAATAGAAAGATATCCCTTGTTCTTGGGTAGGAAGAACCAATATAGTGAAAATGGCCATACCTCCAAAATTGTAATAGAGACTTAATGCAATCTCAATCAAAATGCCAATACCATCTACTGGGGATTTAGTTCAGTGGTGCCACCATCTGCCTCACAAGCACAAGGTCCCAAGTTCAATCCCTGGTACAACAAAACAAAACAAAACAAAAAACACCAATAGCATATCTGTCAAAATTAGAGAAAACCCTAAAACTTATTTGGAACCAGAAGAGCCCTAGAATAGCAAAAGCAACTCTAAACAAAGGGAAGGTGAGGAGCCATCACAATTCCTGACTTGAAATTACACTGCAGATAACAGCATGGTACTAACAAAAAAATAGACCTGAGCATCAAGGGAACAGATTAGAAGATGCAGAAACAACTCCAAACACACTCAGCCACCGTATCTTTTTTTGTGGGAGGGGGATACCGGGGATTGAACTCAGGATCTTGTGCTTTTGAGGCAGGCGGCAGAACCACTGAGCTAAAACCCCTGCCCAGCCACCTTATCTTTGACAAAGGAGCCAAACACCTCCACTGGAAAAAAGATAGCCTCTTTAATAAATGGTACTGTAATAACTGCCTTTCCACACATTTGAAGTTTAAAACTAGACCAATGTCTTTCACTATGAGCTAAACTAAAATTGAAATAGATCAAAGATCTAAATATTAAAACAGAAACACTAAATCTGCTAGAAGATAAATTAGGTAGAACTCTTGAAGACATTTATGAACAAAACCCTGATTGCACATGTATTACAAAGAATCAACAACTGGGATCTCATCTTATTAACAGCAAAAGTCAAGAGATAACTGGTAGTGTGGGGAAAAAATTTTTGCAAGCTGTTCCTCCGACAAAAGACTAATATCTAGAATATATAAAGAACTCAAAAAATATCAGACCCCTCAAATTTAAAGACACAATCCAAAAATGGACATCTGAAGTGAATAGATGAAGAAATAGAAATGGAAAATAAGTATATGAAAAAATGTCCAACATCACTGGTCATTCAAGAGACACAAATTAAAACAACACAAAGATTCTATCTCACTCCAGAAAGAATGGCTATTATCAAGAAATCTACCAGCAGGGCATGGTGGCACATGCCTGTAATCCCAGCACTTGGGAGGCTAAGGCAGGAGGATCACTGTGAGTTTGAGACCAGCCTGGGCTACATAGTAATTTCCAAGTCAGTCTCAACTACATAGTGAGACCCTGTCTCAAAAAACAACAACAACAAAAAAAAATCCACCAATAACAAATGCTGGTGGGGCTGTGGGGAAAAATGGACCTTTCTCCACGGTTGGTAGGAGCATAGACTGGGAAACCCTTGAAATCAGTGTGGAGAATCCTCAAAAAAAACTAAAACTAGAGGTTCCATTTGACCTAGCTATTCCCCTTCTCAGTATCTTCCCAAAATAATTAAAAGTATCATACCGCAGCATTCTATATATATTCATATTTACAGCCCAAATGCCCATGAACCAATGGGTGGATAAAGATGTGGGTTTTTATACAATGGAGTACTACTCTGCCATAAAGGATTCACTTGAGACATTTCTAGCTACGTGGAAGGACCTTGAGACCATACATTTCAGTGAAATAAATCGGACACACATTTAAATACTGAATTGTTTCTCTGGTGTGAGAAACTGAAAGTGTAAATAAGGACCAATATGTATAATAGATACTGGGATGAAAAGGTTCCAATGAGAAGGGGAACCAGGTAAGGGGAGAGGGAAAGGAAGGGACAAGAAAAAAATCAGAATAAAAGGGAAAAAAATGGAATCAAAGCTTTTGTAAATAAGGAGGGGAAGAGGAGTCAAATGGAAGGAAGGGAAATGAGGAAAAAAAGAAGCAAGATACATCATGTACAGGTACAAGTTCCCTATGATGAATGTTATTATGTACAGCATATCTAAAAACATAACAATAAATGTTTTGTTTCAAAAGAAATAAAATAAAATGTACCAATTTTTAAAAAAGGATATTCCATAACCTCAGGAAATTCTACCTGACAACATTCTTGTACTCCCTGCAGTCCCCACCCACACTGAAGAAAGAAAAGGCTTTCTGATAGCTAAATCTGTTCTGGCCATTGTTCAGCCTTAAAAACCCTTGTTTGGAGGTTCTCTCCTCTCTCCAAAGAGTTCAGACTCTCAGCAGTGTACTTAATACCTTTCAAAACCTAACCTCATCCCAGCCTGGCGGCTTCTCTCACTATTTCTCTGGACGCTCCAAACTATGAAGGCGGCTTCCTAAGAGACCTGCTTTTTCTTGCTTTCCTGGTGCAATCCTTGCCAATGGGAAGGAATTTCTGCACGCCTCCAAGGAGCGAAACCGTAACTCCACTTTCAAGCCCCAATTCAATTTTATTTCCATCTCATCCATGCTGGCCCCCTCCTTCCCAGGGGATAGGCTGGGTGCCACTCCTCCCTGCGCCAGGGCACGTATCATTCTGAAATTAATGGTAGGCTTTGGGGTCCGTCCTCCTCCCAGAAAGCCAGTTCTTGGATAACAGGTACTGTATTTTTTTTCTCCTCTCCATTCCCGGCTTGTAGCAGGCATCAATAAAACGTGAATGAACGGTTTTGGGGGCAGCCCCAACACCGGGAACCCAGGGCCAGGACAATATATTTGAGACGAAAAACGGTGAGCAAATCCGAAGCCGGGTGTGGACCTGGGAGGCGGAAGGGGCCCAACCCGAGCGAGCTCACATACCAGAAGTTTTCTTCTCCACCATTTACGCAACCTACACGCCGGAACAACTCCCTGCGCACGCGCACTAAACCAAAAGCGCTTGTAGTGGCATCACTTCCGGTGTTTTTATTTCTACGCATGCGCAAAATCATATAAAGCGTAGAATCAGTACGTGGTGTTCCCTTGGAGACCAGAAAGCTTTCCGCCATGTTTTGTAGGGGCAGAACTACTTCCGGCCTCAGCGTAATTGAGCAAATTTGTGAGAACCCCGAAATGGGTCATTTTAAAGAAGTGGCGCCAATACTCTTTGGAGATGTAGTATTTTCCTTGGGTTCCTCTGAAGGTGCCATTGTCTCCACTACAGCTCCTGGAGCTTCTATCCAGGACAGCAGATTGCCTAAGAAAATGGGTTGGCTTGGACGGGCAATCCGAGAGATCCTCCCGGATGGCCCTCTGACGAAAATTCAGACCCAGTTCCCCTGAGCCGCATCCCCGCCGAGGGCTCCTCCGCCTCCTCCCTCCCCACCACCTCGCTCTCCCAATCTTCCGCCCAGTTGGGAACAAGGCTGTGACCAGGAACCGTTCCCACGTCTCGCCGGACCCTCCCGAGGGGGTCACTTCCCCTCTCCAGGTTTCGATTTCCTTTCCGTCAAGCGCGCAGTAGGCCTGGCAGGCTCAGATCGCGGCCCCGACTCTACCCGGTCCCGCGGCCGGGCGCCCTCTCTGCTCTCCTGGCGTAGCCTGCGCGCCAGCGCCAAGGACAATCCTCGCCTTGTCTCCCTGCCCTCAATCTCGAGTTTTCTGTAGCCTCAGGTTACGCCTTTTTTCCAGGGCGGAGCTCCAGCCCGGCTCCTCCTAGCTTCGGGCCGCTCAGCCGCCCCGGTTCCCTCTTCCCAGAACATTCTCCTGAGCTGGGATCCGGGCGCGCAAGCTAACCGGGTCCGGACCGATGGGCCACCCCGGCTTGCTCCCTGCCATGGCCTCGAGACCCTGGCTTCGGCTCTTGCCCCTGCTTCTGCTCCTTCTGCTTCTGTCTCCAGCGGCCTGTGCCTCTGAACAGCCCCGGGGCAGCAACCGGGTCAACCCAGGTGAGAACCCGACACCCCACCCACTAACCCCAGCCCAGCCCAGCCCAGCCCTGGAGAGGTTGAGGGTTCTAGGGGGTCCAGCCACTCCTGCCCAGAGCACACCTAGGGCCGAATGTAGCAGCCTCTCATCCACACCTAACCCTGAGCTGGGGGTTCCAGCCTCTCCAAGGAAAACTGACCCTGAATTTCTCTGTGTAACTCCTTCCCACCCCTCACTGAAGTGGAAATGTTCCTGGGCCAGAACGGTTTAAGAGGGATCTGGAAAGAAGGGGAAGAGGACTGTGGTGAAGTTAGCGGGAGGCAAGGGGACCCAAGAGACAGCTGAGCACGTGCAGCACAGAGAGCGGGTGGGTCTCAAGCGCCAGTTCATGGCTGTTGACAGAGAAACTGCTGGTGATCACCGTGGCCACTGCAGAGACAGAGGGATACCGCAGGTTTCTGCACTCTGCGGAATTCTTCAACTATACTGTGCGGGTAAGGAAGGGCCCATTGTGCCTCCAGTAGTAATGGGCTGGGGACTGGTTCCTGGGCCCCCAGGGTGAGACTGGTCGATAGCAACCCCCCACACACACTTGCTGAACCCCTCCCTGGCATGGCGGGTCTCCTCCACAGACCTTGGGTCTGGGCAAGGAGTGGCGAGGTGGTGATGTAGCGCGGACAGTTGGTGGAGGACAGAAGGTCAGGTGGCTCAAGAAGGAAATGGAGAAATATGCAGACCAGGAGGACATGATCATCATGTTTGTAGACAGGTAAGGGTCTGGGATGGGGAAAAAAGAGAGGGAAAACATGAGGAGGGATAAAGATGCCTAGGTTCCTAGCGGCCTACTGCTCATACTCTACTTCCTTGCTCAGCTACGATGTGATTCTGGCCGGCAGCCCCTCGGAGCTGCTGAAGAAGTTCGTCCAGAGCAGCAGCCGCCTGCTCTTCTCTGCAGAGGGCTTCTGCTGGCCCGACTGGGGGCTGGCAGAGCAGTACCCTGAGGTGGGCACGGGGAAGCGCTTCCTCAACTCCGGTGGTGAGTGGCAGGGTGCCTGAGGCAGAGGGCCCAAAAGTGGAGGGGCATGGAGTGTTCCAGGTGCCTGCGGGTTGGACAGGAAGCAGGGCTGGGTCTGTGAGACCCTGGGAGTTTTGAGGTCAGCCACTCTCTTGCTCCCCAGGGTTCATTGGCTTCGCTCCCACAATCCACCAAATTGTCCGCCAGTGGAAGTACAAGGATGACGATGATGACCAACTGTTCTACACACGGCTCTACCTGGATCCAGGGCTCAGGGTAGGAGTGGGCAGAGGGTGGGTTACCCCACATCCCTGTGGGGGTGGGAAACCTTGGGCTGGATGGGTGAGAACACAGCAAGAGGGCTTGGGGAGATGTAAAGAGAAAAGGATGAGAATCCCAGCACTCTGGGAGGCTGAGGCTGGAGAATCAAAAGTGTGAGCCCAGCCTGGGCAGCTTAGTGAGACCCTATCTCAAAGTGAAAAAGGGCTGGGGACACAGCTCAGTGTGAGATCCCTGGGTCTAATCCCCAGTACCACACACACACACACACAAAAGACAAAAAGAGGGAAGAGAGGGAGAAATGATGTCCTCTTGTCCCTATGTTAACCACTCTATCCCATCCAGGAGAAATTCAGCCTTAATCTGGATCATAAATCCCGGATCTTCCAGAACCTCAATGGGGCTTTAGGTGAGGAGGAAGGCCATCCAGCGGTGAGCAACAAGGGGTCCCTGCTACGGGAGTCCTGGATTGAGGGCCCCTGGTGGAGCTGGGCTGGTCTGCAGCTCACCTGTGTGTTACCTTCTTCAGACACCTGCAGACATTTTACAGTGCTAGCAGTAGTAAGCGTAAAAACCGTGGTAGATGTCCTAATATCTCCTGGGCACAAACTGTGTACCCAAGGAATCAAGCCAGGGGCTTTACCTCTATGATATTATCGAAGACACAATCCTCCAAGGGACAGTCCCTGGCTGTCCACTTTGGATAGACCCTTAGACAGATAAGGAAATCCACTCCCCGAGGGCTGGTGACTCACTGGGTCACTCAGGTATCAGGTGTCAGACCTCTGTAGGGTGACAGTAGCCCATTCGGGACCCTCAAAAGAAGAAAGTCTTCTGTCCTGACAGAGCCATGTTCCAGGGGCCATTTGGCCTAGGGACCCCTTTTTCCTCTAGAGAAACTGGGTCCCTCACACTTAGAAGCACATGCTATTCAGCAGTTCCCAGAGAAAGGGAATCTGCAACCTGGTCTTTCTTCCCCAGATGAGGTGGTTTTAAAGTTTGACCGGAATCAAGTGCGCGTCCGGAATGTGGCCTACGACACACTCCCTGTTGTGATCCATGGAAACGGCCCTACCAAGGTGTCCCCCAGTGGCCTCTGCCCCTGCCTGCCCCAATCCCTGGGTACCCCAACCCTCCTGAGCAATCGTTCCTCCCCAGTCCCAGCAACAGAAGTGACTGCCCTCCCTCACATCTGTCCCTGATGCCCTTGCTGTTCCTGTCTCTCCCAACAGCTCCCCCTCAACTACCTGGGTAATTATGTCCCCAATGGCTGGACTCCCCAGGGAGGCTGTGGCTTCTGCAACCGGGACCGGAGGACACTCCCGGGGGGGCAGGTGAGGTGGGAGCCCCTGGAACAGAGGCTCAAGGAGGATTCTGAGTGGCTGTAGGGCAAAGGTCCGGGTACCCAGAGGTAGCTCCTGAGTAGTGGGGGAGTGGGGGACAGTCAGAAGCCTGGGCTCCCCCTGAGCTGTGTCTTGTTTTATCCTCCAGCCTCCCCCCCGGGTACTGCTGGCCGTATTTGTGGAACAGCCCACCCCGTTTCTGCCCCGCTTCCTGCAGCGCCTGCTGCTCCTGGACTACCCCCCAGACAGAGTCACCCTCTTCCTGCACAACAGCGTGAGACACCTCCACCTCTCTCTAAACCCCTGCCCTGCACCTGGCACTCCTCCCACCACCTTCCCCACAGCTCGGGGGGCCCTTGCTGCCCACTCAGCCCACGTTCCTGTTCCTCTTCCTCCCAGGAGGTATACCACGAGCCTCACATCGCAGACTCCTGGCCACAGCTCCAGGACCACTTTGCATCTGTGAAGCTGGTGGGGCCAGAGGAGGACCTGAGCCCAGGAGAGGCGAGGGACATGGCCATGTGAGGGGGCACAGCGGGAAGCAGGCTGGTGGGTGGCTACCCACTCATGGCCCTTCCCTCTCCTGTCACCAGTTCAGCCCCCTTGGGCCTCCAAACCTGCAGCCTTGCAAGTACCCTCCCTTGTCTAGCTGCCACTGGCATTGGGGACACTAGGGAAGGAAAACTTGACTCCTCTCCCCTTCTCCTTGGGGACTAGAGAGTCCTGCCCATCCTATGGTCCCCTCCCTAACCCTCATCTGTCCATCTGGGTCTGTCGCCTGCAGGGACACCTGTCGGCAAGACCCAGAGTGTGAATTCTACTTCAGCCTGGATGCTGATGCTGTTCTCACCAACCAGCAGACCCTACGCATCCTCATCGAACAGAACAGGTCTGGCCAGGGTGCCCCCAGAGTCCGCAGGCACGCCAACTGTCCCCTGGGCACATGGTCCCCAAGACCTCATCCCCTCCACCCAGCCCTCATTCCTCCCTGGCCCACAGGAAGGTGATTGCACCCATGTTGTCACGCCATGGTAAGCTGTGGTCCAACTTCTGGGGAGCCCTAAGCCCTGACGAGTACTACGCCCGCTCTGAGGACTACGTGGAGCTGGTACAGCGGAAGCGGCTGTGAGTTCCGCCCCAGGGCAGGACCCTGGACCCAGCCCCAGACCCCTGTTCCCAGCCCTCTCAGGGGCCCGGGGTGATGGTGATCACCAAGCAGGTAGTCATGGCCAGCAGTGCTTGGCAGGGGACATGGAGGGCCTTAAGGCTTGGTGACCGGGGTACCCCAAGAGAAGCAGCACCTGGGATGACCTGGGTGGAATTGGGCAGCTGCCAACTAGCTGACCGCAGCGCTGGTGCCCGCAGGGGTGTGTGGAATGTACCCTACATAGCCCAGGCCTACCTGATCCGCGGCGAGACCCTGAGGACGGAACTGC